ACGGTTCGAAGTGGCCCCCAGAGAATGGCAGCGGACAGATACCTCCCTGACGGTTAAAGTTCTTTGGGATGAACACAAAGAGTCCTGCCCCTTCTCAGCCTGCCGAGGCCAGGCCAGGCTGCCCAGGAAGTATCAGGTGGGGACTCAGATTGCAGAGATACATGGCAACACAGACACTCTGCCAGCCCACGGGAATCCAGGCCAAGAATAGATAATGCTTATACCGAGCACACACCATAATTGCTAGGTGTCTAAGAGCTAACTGCTCCAGGCACAACATTGCTCTCGGCTGCTTCCTCCAAATCCCTTAACAAAAGGAATCCAGGTGCCACCATGAACTAAAAGAACTCCACCCCCAGTCCCCTCATCTGTGTAATACCCCCTTCCCCCTAGTCCCCCAGCACTATCACTGAGCAGAGTGTCCAGGTCACATCAGCTCTGGGGTTTCCCCTGGCACTTACCTTCACAGAGCTTTCTCTCCTGTGAGATCAAGAGCGCAACGCAGCTGCCTGCCGGCTGTCCCGCACTCTCCGCTAAGGGGTAGGCACCAGGTGGTGAAAAGGAAAGAACACAGGCTCTGCAGTTGGAACCCAGGAGGTGCCCACCTGGACAAGTTTAGAATCCTTAACTGCTCTGTACCTCAGTTTGTGCATCTGTAAACTAGTGTCAGCAAAACTCATCTTGTAAGAGTGTCATTAGGGTGAAATCAAACTGTACGGGAGGTGTCTGACCTACACTAGGTGCTCAGAAAAAGGTACTGTTTTTACAGGCATTTCGCCCACTTGGCTGAATAATGAAGTTCCAGGCATGAAGCACATGAACAGCTTGAGAAAGGCACAGTTCTAAACCAGAAGTTCTTCTGGCACTTTATTCTTAGTGAATTGGACCCCCTTTGGATTAAGGAGTAGATGTGTTCTCCTCTAAGAATTCTGTACCATATTCGCACTGGTGCCGACTCCATGGAGAACTCTGATTTTGTGATAAGAACTCCAGATTAGAGGTTAGACCCATGCAGATTCAGGTTTTCAGGTTATCTGAGGCAGATCACTTCACTGTCAGCCCAGACTGCAGAGGTTTTCAACCCCGGCTGTATGTCAGCATCAACTGGGAGCTTTTCCAAGCCATGGGTGTACAAGCCCAACCATAAACCAATTTCACCAGAATCTTTGTTGGGTGGAGCCTGGGTACCAGTACTTTTAAGAGCTCCCTAGATGATTACAATGTGAGATGCACTGAATAGTTCTCCAAGATCCCTCCTAGGCATCCTGGTGCTTACAACAATGTATGATTCAGAGCAGACACTTCTATGTGTGTTAAATAAATGAATAAAGATTCTGACTCAACTCGTTTGCTATTTCCACATTCACAAGTACAGGGTAAGAGAAGGAAAGTCAAAGTTAAATTCTAAGTAAGAATCCCACAGTAGCGCTGTCCAATAGAAATTTCTGCAACAATGGAAATGTTCTATAACTTATGCTGTTCTGTTGGGGACCACCCTGCCTGGTTTCAGAAGCTGTAACGCCCCCATGCCTAAGGCTGAGTGAGCGACCTTTGGACAATAAGCCACTAAGGAGAAAAAGCTTATCTCCCTGGCAGGAGCACTGCTTCTTCTCCTTTTGCTTCATCCATAACTGGCCCCCAGTGCTTGATTGGTTAGCCAATGACAGGTAAGATTCCCCAAGGGGGAAATGACCTAAGACAGGCACAATCACATGGAGGCCCCAGGGAAGGACCTAGGGCTACAGCAAAAGGGAGTGATGGCCCCTGGCCCCTGGGCTTTGACGTAGCCTGAGTCCTCATTCTGTCTGCAAGAAGTCTCCTAATCTCTTGGCTGCCATACTTCCCCTGCCTGACTTAAGCCTGAAACAGTGACAGAGGGGGTGCAGCCCTGTGCTGGAAAGAATGAGTTACCCAGGTGACCAGGTGACTGAGTCTAAGAAAGAATACGTAAAATCCTGTGAAACTTTGTTAAGAATACTCTCAATTAAATAATAAGGGTTCTAGCAGGAAATGAGTTTGTTTCCCAAAGTTTTGTAGCCCTTTAACTAACAGACCCTGACTCAGAATAGGCCCTTGTAGTTCTTTGTATGCTATCTATTGTTTGATCCTTACTGCCTGACAATGCTTAATGAACTTTACCTGTATTCCTGTGCTAACTGAACCCAATAAAAGCCTGTCCGGGCAAGGTTCAGGGCACTCTCCCCTTGAGGGAGTAGCCATGTGCCATCCCTTTTCCTCCACAGGACTCCATAGTCCATGTGAATTTATCTCGTATCTCATCCATAACGCCGCAGACACTGGGGGCTGGTGCACCCGTCACTGTTCAATACATATAATCTGTGCTGTAGCCATAAGGCATATGTAACTCTTGAGTACTTGAAATGTAGCTAGTGTGATTGAGGAACTGAATTTTTAATTTTATTTAATGTTAATTAAAGTTGAATAGCCACATATGGCTCTGGCTGCCATATTGGACTGAGCAGCACAGACATAGCATCTCCCTTTCATTAATGCATCTATACCCATGCACCCCCATGTACCTCTTTTACTAACAGCACCCATTTTCATCTAAGAAAGCCCCTTGTCCCAACTGCCCATAGTCTTTGGGGAAAACTAATAAAATTGCCTTTCCCTTCTCCAGCAAAAGACCCAAGCCAAATGAACCAGCCTCTCCTCTCCGGGAGAAGACTCCAGTTTCAGTGTCATGAGAACAGAAAGCGAGTCGGAGCAGATCAATACCAGTGTCGATGCCCTGAGGTACCGTGCGTATTTCCAGATCGCCAGGGCAGCGCATGAGGACAGTGGCAGTGACAGGTGATGTCACTAGGCATCACTGCCATCGTCATCGCTGTGGTCGTCCAAGTGACTTGTACCTCGCAGCTCTGATGTGCCAGCTCCTGAATTAGGTGTTTATGCTGCCTCGCTTCTTGTGCATCATTTCTTCATCTGTAAAATGGGAAATAACTTATCCTAACTTTTTCCAGAGTTTTTGTGAAGACAGGTAATGGTCACAAGAGCTGTGAGACAACAAGAACTTATCCAAGTCTCTGTTAGAAGTGTTGTTCTCTGAGTACGGGGTGGGGGGTGGAATGATGGTGGAATCATGGGAGAATGTGGCACAGGACCCCACATCTGTGTGACACCAAGGTGTGTGACACCAAGCAAGACACTAGTCTTCTCTGGGCTTTCGGAGTTAGACACACTCCTTTCCAGGTTCACCATTCTCTAATCTATTTGCATGCCGGGCCCGCCTTGTTTGACAGTTCTCCACTCTCCGGGCCGGGCCTAGTCAGCCCCACCTTTGAGTCTTTCAGCTGAACTCCACAGAGGTAGCCTCCTCCCAGAAAACTCTCCAGTCTAGACCGTGCTGGCATCGTACACCACTCATTCCTTCTTTCCCCAGCAGGCTGCCTGACTAGAGAGTTTCCCTGGGCAAATACTCCCACAGCCCCGTGAACCAAGCCTCTGGCAAAGCACCATATTGAAATGCTGTTTAGCCATCTCCTGCACTGGCGGACGTAAGCCCTAGTGGGACAAAGAGCACATCCTTCATGTTCGCAGCTGCACCCCCAGTGCTAGTATAGAGCCAGGCATGTCAAACGTACCCAAGGTGCTCAAGAAGAACTTACTGTTGCAATGACTATCCCTAATCTACTTTATTATTTGTCATTTCAGGAAACCCCTAGTATTAGTTACCTAATGCTGTATATAACAAAGTACCCCCAAACTTACTGACTTAAAATGACATTCTTATCTCTTAATTTTCATGGGAGAGAAATTCAGGCAGAGCACTGGGCTCACCTCTGCTCCACGTGAGGATCCTCAGCTGAAAGACTCAAAGGCTGGGGCTGACTCCTCTCAGGTCCCCCGGCCCCACCATCTGGTGATTGATGCTGGCCATCTGCTGAGAGGCCAGACAGGACACCTCATGTCACCTCTCCGTGTGGCTTGGGCTTCCTCACAGCATGGCGGGCGGGCTCCCAGGGTGGGTGTCCTGAGGAAGTAAGAATGTGACAGGAGGAATGTCTACTTTTTATGACTCAGGCTTGCAGGGTACAACAATACATCACTCCCACCACATTCTACTTGTTAGAAGCCAGTGGCTAAGTCCAGCCCACATTCAAGGGGAGGAGAATTAGAACTCCATCTTTTGAAAGGAGAAGTGGAAAGAATTGCAAAGAATTTCGAACCACCGCAACCACTTTGCTAGCACAAGAGGTAAGGTGAGGGTGATAGCTAAGTGCGCAAAGAGGTTAAGACTCCAGTTCAAACAATTAACCGCGTGATCTAGGGGAAATCACTCCCTGAGGCTGGGGTTCCCCACCTACACCATGAACACGTTGCAGTCGTGGGTCTCCGGTGGTTTTCACACGCTTGGAGTCTTCTTGCCTCAGTGAGCTTAAGAGGACCCCCTCGTATCTAGCTTTCTTAAAGTCCTGTGACCCTTCCCCTCAATGATCACCCTTGGTTTCTGACCCTGGAGGAGCAAGAGGTTGCTATTGAAGCTCAGAGCTGGGACACCAGGAACAATTTAAGAAACAGCGAACCACTGAGGACTTCAGATTCTCCAAGGCTTTCCCTGTCCCAGCCCAAGGTCTTAATCTCAGCTTGTTAGAGAAGTGGATGGTGAGAAACACCCCCATCACTGACCTAAGGAAGCTGAATCTGCCCGCGGGGGACCCAGAATCCACATGTACCCCACGAGACTGTTACACTAACTACTGGCGTGAGAAAGGGGAGGAGTTTTAAAGCCCTCGGGCTGTCTGTCAATTTAGAGGAGTTCCTCATTTACACTCCCTGTTCCAGCCTTTTCTGCCTTACAGTTTTGAGGAGGGGGAGGTGGCCCTGGGTCTCTACTGTCCCTGGCTCACTCACTACAATGGACGGTGTTGTCACCCTCTTCTGCCTTTCAACCCAAGACTCTGGGGCGCAACTTGCTCCCTGCCAGGACGCGGGGGGGGGGGGGGGGGGGCGGGCAGAGCGATGTCCAGACGGACTAAGGTCGAACCCTGTGCACCCCGCTCCTACTGCTGTAGGTCTTGGAGTGGAACAGAATGGTTTTTAACCCTTCCGCTTCCAGAGATAGTTACCATAACTCCCAGATATCCGCCTTTTGGGAAGGAGCGAGCCCGGGAGGGCTCGACACGCACCCAGGGTGACGACCTCGGATGATTGGCTGGCAAACTGAGGCCCACGGAGGGAAGTGACCTGTTCGATGGCCCACAGGAAAATAGACGCTGAATCCGTCTAGAACCCCGGCCTTTCAGGCCATGTTCTCGCTTCTACACCCAGAGGGTCCCCTTAGGAAACTCCCGACCGTGTGTCCTCTGAGCCCGGAATCTCCCCGGAGTTTGCGCACAGTTTGGCATCCTGTAAACTTCTTCCGCGGCTCCGCACCAGCTTCACGGGGCCAGGAGAGAGGGGTAAGAGGGGAGAGAACGCCCACCCTCATTCTAGAAGTAACTTGGAGTTGAGGGGCTGCAGTAGGCGGCGGAGGACCCGCCGGGAACGCACTGGCCCTTTAAGGGGGGGACAGAGCGCATGCGCGCGCGGGGCTGAGCCCAGCCGGGTGGGCGGCGGGAGGGCGAGGGACGCGGCCGGCGGCTGCTGGGCCCGGGGGTGACTGGGGCGGCGGCGGCCCCAGCTTTGCCTAGTCGCGGAGCCGCGACCTGCGTGTGCTCCCTGCGCTCTGCGGGCTGCTCTCCGGGGACTAGCGCAGCTCGCGCTCGCCGAGGCTTTATCACTCGCATCCAGCTTCGTCCGCGGGGCCGGGGCTGCGCGAGCCCCCGGACTTCCCCTCCCCGCCGATCCCTCCTCCACCCTCTTAGCTCCGGCCGCTGGAGCCCGAGCGGACAGCCGAGAAGCATCCTTCGCCCGCTTCGGCCGCGCCACCGCCCATGCTACAGCTAGTCCGGGGCGGCGACCCCGCGGCCGGAGCCAGCCGCTTGTTGACCTCAGACTGGCCCTTGCTCGCCGCCCGGGGCGACCCCGCTGAGCCCCGGGCCCCAGAGAGGGACCCGCGCCCCGCGATGGCTCGGCTGACGCAGCGCCGCGCTGGGTGCCGGCTTTCTGCCCGCTGAGACGCGCCCGGCAGGGGACCGGCGGAGCCTAGGCTTCCCACGCCGCACCCTTCCCCCTTCTGGGGGCTCTGCTGCAGCTTCCGGGCAGCGAGGGGCCAGGGGGCAGAGACAAAGCCCACTTTGTGCGGGGAGTTGGCTGCGGGCGTGGAATGTGCGCGTCGGCGCGTGCCCCCTCCCCGCACCCAGCCAGCTGCGAGTCCTGGCTTCGGGACTGGCCGCGGTGAAGAAATCGCGTCCCCTCGCTGCCCCGGGTCTGGGTGGTCCAGACTCAGAGCTGATGCAGCCTGAAGCCCCCTCGGTACTCCCTCCCCTCCTAAGCGCGCAGGTGTGAGCGTGCGGTATTTTGTGGAGGAATTGGTTCTCTCCAAAACTAGGACCTGGGCCTCCCAGAGTAGGCACCCGTGCCTTGACCCTCTCTGTGGCCTCGGTTCTGAGCTGTCTGGCCTCAGTTGCACCCGCCCACCGCACCCCACCCCGACTTTTCTCCTCTTTGCAAACCCAGACTGATTGCTGCCCGTTATTGTTCTCGCTGTCAAATGGGGGTGCTTTCTGAAGGCTGCCAAGTTGGAGTGTGTTCTCTTTATCTTGTTTTTCAAACGATGCAAGGCCTCCAAGGCTGACCCCAGACCACCAACCCACTCTGTCTCTCCACTTCCCATTGAGGCACTGATTTTTTTCTTACCGAATAGTATTTTATTGTACCGGAGCCACGCCCTGGTTTCTTAAAGGCGCCTTGCACTCTGTTTGGCCATGTGTTATCTCTGCAGCCGGTGTGTGGGAGGCCTCCTGTGAGCCACCTATTTTTTTTCCTGCCTCCCCATACTTCCTTCTGCCTCCCGTCAAAGATTCGGGGATGCCAGGAGGGAAGAAGGTGGTTGGGGGCGCTGCTGCCCCCACTACTGCCGCTGCAGCCTCCTCTGGGGTCAGGCATTTGGAGACCAACGAAGGAGCTTCAGCCCAGAGAGATGAGGAGCCAGAGGAGGAAGGGGAAGAGGACCTGCGAGATGGAGGTGTCCCCTTCTTTGTTAACCGAGGTGGGCTGCCTGTGGACGAGGCCACCTGGGAAAGGATGTGGAAGCATGTGGCCAAGATCCACCCCGATGGAGAAAAGGTGGCCCAGCGGATCCGTGGAGCCACGGACCTGCCCAAGGTGAGTAGTTGGTGGGAGTTGGGATCTGGGGGGCGGGGAGAATCTAGGGTTTTTATGATCTTGACGTTGGAAGAGTGCTTTCATTGGTAGGGTAGGGTACCACTGTCTTAGTGAGATTTTTTTAAAAGTTCTTGTGAACCTGTCCAGAAGAACTTTCTCCCAACTACAACTGAGGTGGTTCTATTAAGTCCACATGCCTTTTTTCCAAGAGGCCCTCTTTCATCTCTTTTAAAATACCCACGCTTCGTGAGCAGGGCAGCAGATTAACAAGCACACTAATGTGGTTTGACATCTCATTTGCTAAGCCAGAGAACTGTGGGCAGAGATTATGTATGACTAAGGGGGCTACAGGGGCTTCACGTATTGAGAAATTTTTTTCAGGTGTTATCTCACTGCATTCCCCAACAGCCTTGGGAAGTAAACACAGTTTGAGGAGCCCTTTTCCAAATGGGAAGTAGGACAACTCAAGCCAATACTCAGGGTCAAATAGCCAATAAGTGGTGGAGCTGGGACCCAATCCAGAGTCTTCGGGACCCAGGTCATCTCCTGTGCTGGATGCCGGATCAGGACAGTTAGAAGAGGGCCTGTGAAGAGGGGCGAAGCCAGATGAGTTTTCTGGGCACAGCTGGAACCCCTCCATGACGGCTCTCTCCAGTCATGTCTCATTCATTGCTGTCTTTCCAAGGCCTCCTGTGTTTTCTCAGTGAAAGTGCTTGAGACGTTCTGTGCTGCACAATGGAAATACGTGCCTGATTTTCAGCTCTAACATGTGTGGGTAAACTGATGCAGTTAGTTCACTTACGGTTAAGCCAAAGACAGAGGCCTGCCATCCCCAGAGAGAAAAGCCCTTCAGAGAGAGGTCGGGATCCCAGTGCTTAGTCCTCACTGCTCAGGCGAGAAGGAAGGGAGCTGGAAAGAGCGGCAGCTCAAGTGGATTGGAGAAGAGTGTTCTGTTTTGCTTTTACCAAGTTCTTTGTAAAATAGCCACAAGAAGCCATCTTCTGGGAAAAGGGAATTTGGAGGTTGAAATTTGAGCAACTGCCTAACGTTTCCAGAGGAAATAAAATGTGGGTTGATTTTGGTGTATATATTTTTTTATTCTCACCGGAAGACATGCTTATTGACTTTAGAGAGAGGGGAAGGGAGGGAAACATCAGTTGGTTACCTCTTGTACTTGCTCTAACCAGAGGCCGAACCAGCAACCTAGGTATGTACTGGGACCAGGAATTGAACCCACAACCTTTCAGTTTATGGGACAACGCTCCAACCAACTGAGCCACATTGGCCAGAGCAAAAATGGACTGATTTTGAAGGCTACACATTTGCCCTCTCTACTAATTTAGAATTTATTTAGCGTGTCACTATGGCTGGACATTTTTTTCAGTAATATATTCTTAAAAATTAACACTATGAGAACATTTTAAAATGTTAATATTGGGATCCGTCTCCAGTTATTTCCTTGGGATAAATTCTTAGAGGAGAAAGTATTGAGTCAAAGAATGTGACCATGGGGTCCAGACGGCTCGCTTACCCATCTGACCTCAAGCAGGTCCCGCAAACCTGTTTGAGCCATAGTTTTCCCCTATGCAGGGTTGACTATGGAAAAGATTACATGAGGAGGGTATGTGTTAGAACATTTGATAAACTGAAGCCTCAAGCCGAGGCTAGTTATTGGGTGTCCTTTCCTTTTTCACGCCCTCTGTCGGGAAGGGGGGCTAGATCACACTCAGCACGCGAGCCAGTCAGGCCGGAGCCACACGCCTCTCCGTAGCTTCTCCCACGTGACCAAGCTGGTGTATAGCAGACAGCTCTCCCGCCATCGTGCTTACGTCTAAATGAGGCTATGGGAGGATGTGAATGGTTCTCCTGGAAACTTAAAAAAAAAAAAAGTCAGTGAGTTTATTAGCAGCTGGTCTACCATGTCATCTTGCAATCCTCAACCTTCGTGTATAGGAAAGACACCCATGAAGGGTTGAAGCTGTTGCCGGGGGAGTGTGGTAGTGTCGAAGGAATTCTGTGAGGGGATTGGGGAAATTTGGAACCTCCCCGCTTCAAACCACAGGACAGAGAGAAAATGCACCCAAGTTTGTGTGGGGTTTCTCCTTGATCTTGGCCCAGGGTAGAAAGCAGCCCCAGAGACATCCATGATTGGTTCCCGGAGTGCCAGCAGCAGAGTGGACTGGCCCCTGGACCGGACCCTCCCTGAGTGGCCGTGCCCTTGGAGCTGGGACGGAGGCATTCTCTGCAGGGGTCACACCAAGGTGGGCCCAAGAGATGTATTATTGGGACAGCACAATGTTTAAGAAGACTACGTGCAAATTTTAAATTGGGAGATTTCACGTGAAAATCCAGGGTTTTGGCACCTTTTCGAAACATGAGAAGATCTGAGCTCAAGAGTCCCCCCCTGTCACGCAGCAGCGGCAGCTGGACCTGAGGAGCGGCACCCTCCCCGAGCTGGTTGCGTCACCACTCTCACTCCAGCCTGCCTTCCCCATTCGGGACCCTGAGTGGTCCTGCAGCTGGTTGAGTCTGGGACCCCTACTGTGCTGTGAGATATAACGCGAGGTCTGCAGTCAGACCCGCCAGGTTAAAACCCTGGTTCTCCCGTGATGTCTTATGTGATGACTTCTGCAGGCTCCTTGTGCCTCAGTTTTCACAACTGTAAAATGGGGATAACAGCAATATCCATTTCTGAAGATGTTGGGAGGAATTGCTAAAGTAAAAGCATGTGAAACAGATGGGCATGTAATTCATACCCAACAAACAGAGCAAGAACTGAGGCTGCAGCCACTCCATGGGTGCTCTGGGGAAACGTCCTTCAAAAGTCAGGTGCCAGTATGTTAAAGGACAGCTAATTCTAAAAGGATCTTAGGCCCAGGAAGAGTTTGTGGTCCTTCATAAGAATCTCACCTTGACGTTCCAAGCTTCTGCCACCTTTAAAAGCTCAGGGGCCGCTCATCCCAGATCCAGCTGCTGAAGATCTCCCAGCTGTGGCCCTGGCCACAAGGCTCCTACAGAATATGAATTCAGATCTCGGGTCCGCGCATGCTGACCAGTAGCTTTGGCAGGCACCGGAGTAACAGTGACAGTGAGCAGGAGCTGAGCTTTGCCTGGCCCTGCCTCGTTTATACAGTGAGGGCGGTTCTGTCAAGATACTCCTTTTACAAAGGAGGCCTCTGAGTCACAGAGATATGAGGGATCTTGATGCAGACAGTGAATGGCAGGGCTGGGATTTGGACACTGATGGCCTGGCTCTGGAGCCTCCACCTCTGGGCTGTGTGCTTCTCGCCCACACACTCAGCTGTGGACAGTCCTGCCTTCCCCAACGCTCCCTGTCGTGCTGGACTGAGACGGACTTCACCAGGTAGAATGACCGAACAGAACTCAGGACTTCCGCAATTCCTGCAGCAAGGGTAACCCTTGGCCTTGACAGTGGAGAAGAATTTGTCCCTAAAGAGATCTGGGAAGCCAATATCATTCACCCACTGTACTCTGACCCTCAACAGTGAGGAAGTATTTCCTGGCTCCTGGTTTGGGGAGGGGGGTAGTCAGGGCAAATCCAGGCTACCAATCCTAAAGTGGGCCTGGGCACTTGGATGTACAGAAGGGCACTTGTTTCTGAGCGAGTGAGTGTATGCTTGCACGAACATTCGGAAGAACACTGTCCATGCTGTCTGCTACAGGAGTTAGCCTGAGTCCTGGAGCTGGCCAGAAGGCTCCTTCCAGCCAGGCCTCAGTGATGTGGCCTCTGAGACTCTGCTCCCAGGTCTTTATTTGTTTATTTATTATTATTTTAACTCTTTTGGAGTCATTCCCTCTTCCCAGAGCAGCCAGTGCCTGGGTCCTCCGTCTGGATGGCAGGGGACGCCTTCATGGGTGCTGCCCGGCCCTGGCCCAGGGCTGGGTGAGCTCAGGCAGAGAACCCATGCACTGCAGCTCCCTCCTTGTTTGGAGGGTCTCAGGGGAGGGCAGCCTTAGTCTGTGGCCAAAGCTCCTGGAAACCACTGGATACCTTCTCCTCACTGGAGAAGTGGAGGATGGTCTCTCAGGGTCCTTCCTCCGGAAGAGGTCACATGTCACGCTGTTCATAGTAAAGTGCAAGTAATTCCTGTCCCTCCCCCCACCCCACATCCTCACACGGGGGAGGTCAAGCCAGGCCCTTGGAGAGTTCTGGTGCCCATTTGGCGCAGGTGGTCAGGCAGGAAGAGGGAACTTCCCTGTTATCCTGGGACTTTTTTTTTTTTCCTGGGACTTTTATCTCCTGGTGACTAAGTGGTAGCACCAGTCTGGGCAGCTGTGGATGGTGTGAAAGGGGAAACAGCTCCTTACAGACAGAGGTGTCTGCCCTGGGGGGCTGCCCGGAGGGGGAGGACAGGACAGGGAGGGGGGTGGGGGAGAGGAAGTGCCTGCAAAGCTGTCACTTCTGGGCCTTCCCTCCTGCATCTGGGCCCTTGGAGGGAGTAGGTGTCTCTCACAGGCTGTCCCGAGCCCCTGGCCATCAGCAGCGCCCCAGACAGGAGTGTGCAGTGGTCACTGTGTGTCACCCCCGTGTGTCAGAGCCCCAGCCACTGCAGCCGTGTTATTTAAAAGGCCGTGCCTGCGGCACAGCATCTCACTACGGGGAGGGCCTGTCCCACCCCAGGCCTCCCCCGAGCTCCCACGGGGCTCCCGCTTCACCCCTTCCCTGCACACCCGCCCTACCCACCAGACTCTGACCCTCTACAGCCCCAGCCTGCTAGGTGGGCTCCGTGGGAGGGGGAGCCAGACCAAAGGGCGGGACCTCTCCCTGTGAGGGACTTAAGGCCACTTGACAGCTGGCGGTGCTGGAAGTCAAGGGGGAGCCCAGAGGAGTGAGACTTGTTCCTGGAAATCTGGTTCTTCTGCCCAGAGAAGTCTGTTCTGTAGCCCCGGGGAACTCGGGCTCACTGACTTGTTGCAGCCTTTCTAGGATCCAGGCTTTCTTGGCCCAAGGTGGGCCTGGGACCCACGACCCACTCCGCATGGTGGCCCCTTTCTCTGGAGACTGCCTGGTTGTTGAGGGGACAGCCTCAGGGAGCTGCAGCTCCTGACCCATCTCCTGGCAGGCCACGCCTGTCATCGCAGCCGCCAGGGGGTGCTTGCCTGACACCCCCGTCTCTCTCCTCCCTGGGCAGGGCACTGCAGAGTCTTTTCAGGTGGGAAAGACAGCCTGGTGACCTGGTTACCTGTGTTGCTTACAGGTGTAGAGCGGGCAGGGAAGGGGGGTTTTGAAGGGGAGCCAGGGCTCCTGGGCCTCTGAGAAACCCCTCCTGAGTGGCCAGACCACGGCAGGCAGGGCCACGGCAAGACCCGTCCCAAAACAGGCCCGTCCGGCGCACCACCACTACCTCACTCCAGTTTGGGTTGGAGCAGGAAGGCCTGGTCAGTGTGCTGTGCGGGGCTGGGTGACACCTTCTGCCAAGGGTGTGTCCATCCCTCCTGGAGGGCTCCCCCAGGGCACTGACCCCAGGTAAACCAGTCTGACCTAGCACTTGAACCGGAAGGAGCCCACATCCAAATGAACTTAACCTCAATATTGACATTCTTGTTAAGCCTTTAAAGTTAATGAATATTTGAAATTCAAGACAGGGAGTCGACCTGTGTTTTTCTAACATTACCTAAGAAACGCAAATTGGAACATCAGCATAAGCTCCAAACTAGGAATGCTGTCAAGGGCTGGGCAGGGGAGGACTGGCCGTGGGGGGGGGTGTGACTAGAGCCTCCCTAAAGGTCGCAGGGAGAGGGGCTCGGGGTAGGAGGGACGTGGGGACACCCCCTCGCACGTGGCTTCTCTGTGGGATAATTGACTGGGCTCTTTCTCTGTCCCTAGATTCCCATACCGACTGTGCCTACGTTCCAGCCCTCCACACCCATCCCTGAGCGCCTGGAAGCCGTGCAGCGCTACATCAGGGAGCTGCAGTATCCTCTCGGGCCCAGGGTCACGGCCACTGGCTGGCTGGCGTGCTGGTCCAAAGGCTGAGTGGGGCTGGTTTTCAGACTGGGCTGGAGAGGGGGCAGCAGAGTGGCCTCACACCACAGCCCCAGGGCCGCCGTACACAGGGAGCCTCTGCACCCCGGAGCTGCGCCAGCCCAGCAGCGGGTGCGTGTAGGTGTGGGGGCGACTTTGATGAGTGCCAGACCCACTGTCTGCCACCACTTCCTCCCCTCGGTGTGATGAGCAGATGTCTCCTGAGTGGCCTGCTGGTGGGTGGCCATCAGCCCGGACCTCATCTGCCGTCCATCTAGTCCAGCAGAAGGAGAGGGGAGGCTCCCATGGGGGTGTTTAAAAACTCGTAGTTTGAAAGGCCCTGGGGGGTTGGGGGTGGGGTGCAGGTGGGAGAGGACAATGATTTTGTGCTCTGGGAGGTAACTTCCCATCTTGGAATGTTCTCCCAGTTTTTTGCCTTTCTTACCTGTCAGGGGGCCAGCTGCCCAGCATGGAAAAAGCTGGACCCCCCCGAGCCCTGGACACCATGGTGTCCTTGTTCTGGGCTCCTCCACCCTCTGTTCTCCACCCTGTACGTCCTCAGGTCTCTCCCTCAGCCTTCCAGCTGCAGGGGAGGCAGCAATGGAAGGATCAGGTCCTGAGCCAGAGAAAAGCCAGGCTGATGATTGAAAGTTGGATCCAGCCCTTCCTTTATCAGTGGGGACATTTTAGCCTGGAGAGGGGAGGGGTTTGGTTCAGGAGCAGCACCCAGCAATTTAGCCAGGCTGGACACCCTCCCCACTCTGCCTTCTCCGAGTTCATGTGGCCTCTCCGAGCTGTCTAGAGCTCTGCCACTCCCCCAGCACTGGCTGGCCTGGCTGCCTGCTCCACGGCCCCGTCCTGAGGGGGAGGCCAGGGGAGAGCAAGGTTGGAAGCCAGAGAGGGTTGGAGAGACAGAGGGACCGTGTGCAGAAGGAGAAGCACACAGGCTGTGCCCTGCTCTCCCCTTGACACATCAGGTCTCGACAAGCATCCTCCCGGGTGCCTCTAGGAGGCTGCACCCCCAGGAGTGCTGGGCCCCTGGGTCTGGGGGACAGATTCAGTGAGTGGGACACACCTCTTCCACACCAAGCCAGGAAGCCCTTAACCAGCACTGCAGATACAATCACACAGGGACCCAGTTCTTTGAAATTAAGAAGAGCAGGCCCCTCACAGGGTAAGTGTGGGCATGCTGGGTCCCCCTACACCAAGGCTGACACTGCCCCTCGACAGGTTGGAGCCATTTGGGGGGCCTTTGGGTGGGCGCTCGTGGGGCAGGCAGGGCCTCTCCCAAGGGAGCGTGCCAGCAGGGGCAAGCGTCCCGCTGTACTGCCCATCTCACTGCCTGTCTCCTCCTCTGCACACCCCAGGGGCCCTAAGGATGCTGGAAAGCAGGAACTGTGGCCGAGGTGCACAAAAGGGCTCCCCCGACGAAAAGGGAGCTTCAACATCCATGCTGAGCTGGGAGGGTGACAGGCAGCCCCCAGCTTGCCTTGGCAATGACAGAGGGTGGTCCCAGGTAGATGTCTGTATATAAGCCTTATTATTATTATTATTATTATTATTATTATTTTAATGAGATATGGGCCTAGCAACAGAGAGTGCTGCCCATTGCAGGGAACCTGTGTCACCCCAGTTGCCTTACTGGCCTCCCTTCTGGTCATTTAATACAAGGCCCAGTGTCTGAGCAACAGGGACCTGGGTACAGCTCTCACTTCCTAATCCACCATCCAACATGTAGGCCCCTGGCTGGGTTCACCCCGCAGAAGCCCTGAGGGCAGAGGAGAGTGAGGAGTGACTGCCACTTCCTCACTGGGCCTGGGGGCTCAGCCCAAAGCCATCCACAGGCTCAAAACCCCATGTTTTAGAAATTGACGTGAAGTTTACGTCTTGCTCCACATAATCTGTCCATGTTTGCTTTCTCACAAAAAAATTCCTGAGGTGGTTTATAGCTATACAACTTAATTACCCCTGTTCCCTTCAAGCCCCTTGGTGGAATCCAGCCTCCTGCATCCCAAAAGCTTTGCTCTTGACCTCTGGCTGTTGTGCGCCAGGGCCCAGCTCCACCCTGCATGGTGTGGAGCGGTCCAGCACCCTCCTGGGCGAAGCCAGGGGCCAGGCTGCATTCCTAGACCTGGAGGCAGTAGTCAGTGAGGAGGGAGAAAGGACACCTCAGGAATAGGCTGTCTTCAAGTGGCCTGAATTCCAAGTTCAGGCTCAGGCTGGGGAGTCACCTGGCTAACTGCCTGAGATGCCCTGTCCTGGACCTGGGCAGCTGGCCAGCTGTGGGGGAATGGCAGCAATCAATTACAAGCTCTTTGGAAATGCCACGGTTGAATCAGGGGAACCACTGTGCTCCAGAAGGGACGACATCAATGCCGAGGTTCCCAGCATCTGTGGCTTGCTTTCCCGCAGCCCACACCACCACTGCGGAAGGCCCCTGGCCCAGGGCTGTCCAAGAGCTGCCTGTGACTGCATGCCCTCCGTTCACACTCCCCGCCCCCAGAGGTCTTAGGATCAGGAGCCTGGACTGTCAGGGAGGAAGTGAAAGGAGGGAAGGGAAGGGGCCTCCTTCCTTATCTTCAGTGACTGCCTCTTCATCCACCCTCTCTGGCTCAGGATGGACATGGGGGAGGGGAGGGAGGTGCTGGGCCTACGCTGAGGCAGCTTAGAAGGGACCTGGGGTTTCTGTTCTGGCATTTCTAGTCTTCCTGCTCCCTCATTGGAAAGTGCTAGGGGCTCTGTACTCATGTCTCTGCCTTCCTGCCCCTCAGGCTGATGGACCTGGCCAAGGAAATGACCAAAGAGGCTCTGCCAATCAAATGCCTGGAAGCTGTGATCTTGGGAATGTATCCTTCCTTAGCCCCAGGAAGCCTGGGAGGGGGCAGGCATGTGCTTAGCACCCTGGGCCCCAGCTTCCTCCTCTGGAAGGGGAGGACTGATGGGCTCCAGGGCTATCCCAGCACTGTCTCCCAGAAGTCATGAACTTGGCTCCAAAGTGAAGGGGCTTCAGGGGGTCTCAGTCTCCCACGCCTCAGATGCTAACTTCCTGGGCTCACTGGCAAGCTCCTCTTTGAGTCATGTGGACACAGTGACCCTGTTCTCTGAACCCCAAATCAGGGCACATCATCCCACAAAGGCCATTGCGCCATTTCCAAGAACCAAACAGTCTGGGGAAAGCAGGTTCGGTGCCCAGATGTTGGCAATTCCAGAACATGTTGATTTGTGGAGCTGTTGGATGGAATATTGGAAACAACTGCTTGCCTTAAAAGAAAAAAGCAAACGGGGTTTCTCAGTCACTCCCACCCAAAAGGCAGAACTGAAACCTCCAGCTGGGCGTCGGGGTGGGCAGACGAGCCCCCAGCTGGGGCAGGGTAGGGAGGAAGGTGTATATGGCCGGCTCTCCGACCTAATTGGCTCGTGCAGAGCCTTGCCCTTTTTTGTTTTGTTTTACTAGAGAAAATTTTAAGCTTGTATGAACATAGACCAATATGATAAATTCCATGTGCCCCGCACTCAGTTTTACCCATTCAAGGCCAATGTTGATTCATCTCTGTGTATCCCTCCCATCTCCCCCTTTCCCCTAGTGCCACAGGCTTTTAAATATTCTGTCTGCCACCTCCGGTGCAGGCGCCAGGCTCCATGCAGAGAGGACAAGGGGAGGGTGCCTTACAGCACAAGGAGTCCCTGCTAGAACAGATCGGGGAGAGGGAGCCAGGAGAGGGAGGCAGTCCCGGGAGGACTGCCATCTGATCCATGGGGGCCGCCCCCCTGCCCTGTAGGCAGTGCCACCTTAAATTATACCTGTGGAGAGTGTGGAGATGGGATGGGCTGGTGCCCCTTCCCTGGAGGTCCCGGGAGCTCAGTCTTTGGTGGCCATTGTTTCCCATTTCCAAGAGCCTGACAAGCATTGCCCTGTCTGAGAGTTTACGGGTCAAGCATGAGGCCAGCCTGAGCACTTGGGGCCACTGCCAGCACCCCCTCCATGACCCCACATTGCTTCTCCTTCAGGGGTCACACACTAACGTGGGGCTCCCGCACATGGGAGGAGGAAGGCTGCTCCCCTCCCCTGACACACAGAAGGATCACGCAGGATCACATCATCTCAGAGGCCTTTCTGGGGCTACCCGGTGTCTCTTGGGTGGGAAGAAAACAGGACAGCCCCCATCTGGAGGGAGGACCTCCCAGGGCCCCCGCTGTACACATGCTGGCCACCATGCTGAGTCTGTCCCTGTGCCTCATCCTCTGCACCCTGAGACTGCACCTTCCTCACCTCCGTGTCCTCAAGTCACTTTCCAGGAGTCAGGCTCAGTAAGGGTTGTAATGACTGAGGGCATAGACTTTGGGGCCCTGAGTCCTAGTTCTGCCACCTGTTGACTGTGACCCCTAGCAAGTTCCTTAACATCTCTGAGCCTCGGCAGCATCCTCTGCAAAAGGGGATGGTGGTAGTGCCTGTCGCACAGGTTGCCAGGACAGTGGAGTAAGCGGGTACATACAGGACACGCGCCACAGTGTCTGTACACAAAATCTCTTCTGAGCCTTTATCTCGTTCATCTTCTACCCAACCGTTCAAGGGGAGTTTTTATCGAGTAACTGTTATGTCCCTGCCTCCAGGCTGGGCCTCAGAGATACAGCAAAGGATGTGACAGACAAGGCCCCCATTCCCAAGTTTATATTGCAGCCGGGGTGACCGAAAGTAAACAAAGAAGTTATTACAGATTGTGGCGAGTGTGCATAGGGAAAATGAAGATTGGAGCAGAGCTGATTTAGAAGGGGCGGTCAGTGGTGATGGCCAAACCTTCAGCATGAGGAGGAGCAGTCAAAGGCTGGCGGAGGTGGGGGCAGCCTTCTGGGAAAAGCTGGCGCAGAAGGTCCCAGGGGGAAATCCAGGAGGGCTGCGAGTGAGGGAAGTAGTTGGAGTGAGCGTGGGCCAGGCTTTGTTTGCAGGGCAGTGCGCAGTAATAATGTGTGTGGGGAGGGGGAGGGGTGGAAGAGAACAGAATTGTCTGCATCTGTGAGCGCACGGGTGCGTGAGAGGGAACGAATGTGAGAACGTGTCTGAGAGAGGACATGGGGATGAGAGGTGTGTGTGTGCCTGACAGGAGAGAGGGGGGCAGGGGGGCAGCCAGCAGGGACTTCGGAGAGCCCGAGGCTTGGAGTGAGGGACTCGCTGTTAGCTGTTATTTTGTGAGCTGTGCGTGATGGCATAGCGGCAGCCACTAACCACTGAGACCCTGTTCCCTAGAGACTCAGTGCATTGAGCACCTACTGTATGCCAGGCTCAAGGCTAGACAACAGGGTATGGAGGTGAGCAAGGCATGGTGCCAGGAGCCAGGGGCCACTCACATGGGCTGTGCCCTGGGGAAGGGGTCGTGGGGTCCCAGTCCTGCCCCTGCATGCCAGTCTGGCGCCTCTCCCTGGTTGGTTCCTTAGCTGGGCTGCCAATGCCAGTTACCTCACCAACAGCATGCCAACCCTGGAACGCTTCCCCATCAGCTTCAAGACCCACTTCTCAGGGAACTACTTCCGCCACATTGTGCTGGGGGTGAACTTCGGGGGCCGCTACGGGGCGCTGGGCATGAGCAGGCGCGAGGACCTGATGTACAAGCCGCCAGCCTTCCGCACGCTCAGCGAGCTGGTGCTGGACTACGAGGCCGCCTACGGCCGCTGCTGGCACGTGCTGAAGAAGGTGAAGCTGGGCCAGTGCGTGTCCCACGACCCGCACAGCGTGGAGCAGATCGAGTGGAAGCACTCTGTCCTGGATGTGGACAAGCTGGGCCGCGAGGACTTACGCAAGGAGCTGGAGCGGCACGCCCGCGACATGCGGCTCAAGGTCTTTGTCAGCGTCGGCCCTGCCCATGCGCAGAAGGTTCCGTGCCGCGGGGTGGAATGAGACGCGCTGTCGCTTTCTAGGGGGAACGCCATCACCCCCTCCGCCCACCCCCACTGCTACTCCACGGGAGACAGTGGGTGGGAAATTTCAACAGTGTCTTCACTCAGAGGTCACTGTGTTGAAAGAGCCCCCTCAGATGGGCGGGACGGGGAGGGCTCCGGAAGGAGACAGCAAGTGAGCTGGGCTTGGGGAGTGGGCAGGCCCGGAATGTCTGGAAGGGCGGGGCGGGGGGGCCCCCGCAGTCCGGGTGAAGGGTAAAGGTCTGTGAGTAGAGATCCATCGGTGGGAAGTCCCGCGTCTGCAGGGAATGGTAGGCTTGGGTAGAGGTAGCCTCCGCCTCGCTCTGTGTATCCTGACCCCTGACCTCTGATCACCACCCCACTCCAAGGAAAGACTAGGAGGACGTCAGAAAAAGGAAGGGAGGCAGGAAGGAGGCCATGGGAAGAAGACAAGGGGATACTAGTTCCTTCTCCTGCTTTCCCGCCCCAAAGAGCAGGAGGGGAGGGGCTGCCCTCTCCTGAGCAGGTGGGCTGAGCCGTCGAGGGGTTTCCCCTCCTCCTTCACAGTGTGCAGAATCGCAGCCTCTCCCCGGTCCCCCTGGACTGAGGATGCCCCCCTTGGGGCCCCTCCCCATTTCTCAGTCGCTGCTGTGCAGTGACTCTGCCCTTCCTGACAGCCCGGTGCTGAAACCAGACCCTGGAGCCTTCACATCCACTGAGGCTCCCCACGGCCCGGCCCCGGAGGCTCTGCCCTGCCGGCCCTTAGGCCATGACTCTATGGGGTGATAGCACCTTCCCCCGGGGCAGAATCCAGCTGCAGCCCACCGGCCATTTTCAGGGGCTGCCCTTCTCCGCCCTGAGCTGACCCTCCCCCTGTAGCTCTGGTTGGCCAGCTCCCTGGCTCCTGCTCCTGGAGCATTTTGCATCTTCAAGGGAGCAGTTCGGACCTTGAGTTGGGACCAGTGGATGCCTAGTCTTCCTTTAGTGCTGTGTGATTCCCAATCTGTTTGGCGCTAAGGACTCCCCACATTATTTGCCACTCTTCAGCATCCCCACAGTGGACCCCATGTGTTAAAAATTCCGATCACACTTACTGTGCTGCATAAAGGGTAGTTCAGGTTTTTTCCCAACTGTTTCTTAATAGCTGCCAGTCTGAGCTTCTAAGTGGCTAGAGATGCCCAGTGTCATCTGTGGGGCTGGGAGCACCCAGCCCGCCCCCCACAAATGGGCAGGCTGCCTCCCCAGCGGGCACGTTTGTCTGGCGGGGATAAATGGCCCTTTTTTCAAGGACCTCTTAAAGGGTGGCGAAAGTTCAGGGACTTGCCCACATCCGCACTGTTGTAGGGCCGACTGGGATAGAGCAGCCTGCTGAGGAACCCTGGCAGCTTCGGTGCCTAGAACACAGGCTTGGGGAGACCTGGAGACAGGGCGGAGCAGCTGCTTGAGCTTCCTGGGTCTTGCCCGGTGCAGCCTCAGGGGCCTGCAGCAGGACCGGGCCCTGGGGCAGCCCTGCAGCAAGTCTGTCTTTGTCTCTTCCCCCCCACCAAGATCGGCAAAGGGACTGGCCCTCCCTCCCCAACCAAGGACCGGAAGAAGGATGTGTCCTCCCCACAGCGGGGCCAGTCTAGCCCCCACCGCAGGAACAGCCGCAGCGAAAGGCGGTGAGTGATGGGTCCCACCTGGGAGGCTGGGAAAAGGCTCTTTCCTTTCCTTCTTGTCTTCTAGATTGCTGCTTTTTTTTTCACCCTACCGTTCTCATTCCCACTGTTCTCTTTCTCCCCTACTGGAGAGAGGTGGTTTGAGATGATGAGTTTGTGTGTTTGCACCTTCCAGCAGCAAGGTGGTCCCATTTCCCCAGAGAAGGCAACACTCATGGCCCACCAGTTACACCCCCCCCACCCCTTCCACCCCTCCTCCCAGGGTGCTGGGCATGAAAGAGGTCTGAGGCCAGCGTGTGTAGGAGGGAGAAGCAGAGGGTGGGCCTCTGCCAGAGGGTGTGTTCTCCCAGGAATATTGTTGGGAAAGATGTGAATATCACATGGCAGCTGGTAGATGGCTTTAAATACACCTTTCACCCCTGCAAGTCTGTGGTTTTCGCCTCTACCTAGATGACAGACACATCCCGTTATGATGCCAAGCCATTTGTTTTGTCTTCTGATTTGTCTTCCACCTGTCGGTCTGGTTCTTGCTTTCAGTGTCGTTGTCATTCAGCAGCCACCTGTGTGGTATGATTCAGGGACTCCAAGCAGGTCTCCGATACCCAGCGTCAGTCACTGGTCTAGGAGAACTTTGTAGAGAACAGGTTCCCCTTACAGCCAACTGCGCCCCGATTAGCTGACCCCTGGCAAAGAGCAGGAGCCTGTAAGAGCTCGACCACCCTCGGGACGGCGCAGGCAGGCGGGCACTTCCTCGTACACTCTGCTGCCCCTTGGAGGATGGAGGCCGGGCAGATACCAGGGGCAGCCACCACCCCGAGGGGCCGCTCACCCTTCTCCCCTCTTCTGCTCTCTCCTCCCTGCAGGCCTTCAGGTGAGAAGAAGCCTTCCGAGCCCAAAGCCATGCCAGACCTCAATGGGTACCAGATCCGGGTGTGAGACGGTGGCAGCACCCCAGCCTCACCCACTTCTTGGGGCCAGGATCACCTGCCAGAACCAGCCTGGCCCGTGAACGATGGGCTGGTGACGGGGCCAGTGCCGGGGCTGGTGGGAGGCTGCAGGAAGAGTGTGCTCCAGCTCAGGTACTCGAGCGGCTGCCCCTCCCACTGGGCCAAGCCTCATCGCTTTGGATCGAGAAGCAGTTAGTATTTTATTTAGAGTTTTTAACTTGACAACTAAAGTTTACGGTTTTTGGAGAAAACTAAAAATGGAATAGATCTGCCAATGTCTGGCAGGCCAGTGCTTAGGAGATCTCACTGCCTCAGGGCTGGGCGAGGAGGGCCGTTGGCTCCCAGGGTCCCCCTGCCCCTGGCGACTGTCTGGGATTTGGGCCTATCCCTGTGCGGGAGCTCTCCCGGCCCGCTGCGTGGTGGGACGCCCTATGTGGGGTGGCACAGGTGACGCCTCCCCCGAGTGTGGAAGGCCGTGGCCCAGGAGCCCCGTGGACAGATGGCACCGCTGTGTAGACACTGCCTACTGGCACACCCCGTGCTGGGCGCTGTGGGAGTGCCCAGGAGAGAAGCACAGCGGGCAGAGTTCCAGGCCCCCAGCCCCTTTTGCTCAGGTCAGCTATACCTGCTGCTGAACCTGGAGATCCCTGCAGAGGCGCTACGCTTTGCTGAGGGCTCTGCCTTGCAATGGGCTCAGTGTGATTGTGGGGACTGAGCAAAGCAGGTGGCTCCAGGAACGGTGGCCAGAGACAGGGTGGTGTGCTCCTGGGTCTGTCCCCAGGGGGTGGGCCCTGCCTCCCTGCTTTCTATTGCCTCAGCCCTTGCTGGGTGAATGACAACCAGATCGGAATGCTTTTGGCCTGGGCCCAGCTCCCCTCAGTTAGCAGCCCGTTTAGGTTTGGGCGTCCCAGTGACCATCAGGCCTGTTGTCAGGGACGGACCTGAACAGCCAGCGTCTGTACAGCCTTCCTGTCTGGCATGAGGGAACTGGCAGGCAGGGGAGAGGCTGTGGAAAGTGCTTGAAGGGGGAATGAGGAGGAGTAGGCGGAGGGGACAGTGCGGCCCCCGAGGAGGGTCGGAGCCTGAGAGCTGGGAGGGGTAAGTGATGAAAGGATGTGGGGGATTTCGGAGTTGGCTGCCTTGGAAAGTGGTGAGTTCCTGTTGCTGGAGGTATTCAAGCAACTACTAGATGGCTACTTGTCAGGAAGCTGTTGAGAGGACTCGGGTTGTGGAAGGGTAGCTGGATGGTTCCTTTTTACTGAGAGGCTATGATTCAGCCAGGGGCAGCCATCAGTAAGGCTGCAGAGGGGCTGGGAGCCTGGGAAGGGGAAGATCAGAACTACAGTTAGAAACTCAAATGCCTTACAGGGCCAGGCAGGTGATCAAAAGGAGGACTGCAGGGCTGGGTGGGGACTGTGGCAAACTAAAGAGGGCGTTAACCTCATTAAAGCAGCGGCTGCTGCTCAGTTTTTCTCAGAGTGCAGGCCCTGCATTGCCAGATTTTCTGATTTTTTAGAGGCCAGAACTCTGAATTTTTATGAGATAATCCTGATTTTTGAATGTCGGCAATCAGTTCAGGAAATTTGAAAAATGGGAAAGAACATGTGGGTCTGTAATCTGTGCCGTAGAGAGAGAGTTGTGCTGGGGAATAAGTATGAAAGTTCCAGGCTTGCCAGGGCTGCTGGGCCAGGGCAGGGCCTTGCTGTTGAGGCTCCCGCGTCCATTCATGTCACTCCCTGCAGACCAGAGACACACCAGAGACCTCACGGCTGCCCTGTCACCAGAGCAGGTAGAGTGGAGAGAATGCACCTCTCGGTCTGCCCAGGGCATGGACGGTGCCCTGGAAGCAAGGAGAGGAGGGAGGGACACAGATTTCCTTTGCTGATGTGAATGCCGTCAGGGAAGGCACCAGGGGCCAGCAGCTCTGCAAACCAGCAGCTGCTAGCCCTGAGCCCGGCTCAGCCAGGGGGCCAGCTGGCCAGTCCCTTGGGTTCTTCATGGATCCCCAGAGAGGTATTTAACCTGCCCCCTTGGGCTGCACTGCAGCCATTGTGACCACTGACCCACCATCCATCCCAGTTTTGCCATCAGGGAGTGGGGTGGCAGTCCCAGTATTGCCACGTTCATCTGAGGCAGACGTGGCTCACTTTGGGGAGGCATGAGGCCAACAAGAGGCTGCTCCTGGGCCTGTGTCCGAGTGCCTGTGCAGGCCGCTCATCAGAGGACGTGGCCCTGGGGGCCCCGTTGGACCACAGGGCCTGAGGGCAGGGGAGGTAGGAGGGAGCTGGGAGCTTGGGTGAGGGGCACCCGGGGAGCTACTCCTGGCACAGGAGCCTAGAAGGATGCTCCGACCTGCAGCCTCTGGGGAGCAGGGGGCTGACCAGCCCCTGCTGGTAACCCCTGAGCACTCCCCCTTTCCGGCTGAGACCACCATAGGATACAGTGGTGCTTTTTAATTTAGTTTAACTGTTTCTCATATGTAGCAACCCCGCTGCCCCTCCGGGCGTGTTTACACAGGCTCTGCTCCCTGGGGGCAGCCTGGCTGCAGAGTTCTGGGGAGGCAGAGGCAGGGACTTCGGGGCCTTAGTCACCGTCCTCAGTGTCACCTCATCGCACTTCCTGTGAGGAGCAAGGAGCCTGGCTCCTCCTCCTGACTCAGGACTGCCTTTTGGCCCTCAGCCTGGGCTCCGCTGCCCCCCAGAGAGCGGGCGGCTGGCTGAGGGGGGGGGTCGAGGTGAGGTCGGAGAAAGCTGCCAGATGAAGGTGGATGGATCGGGTGGGGCTGGGCGATTGCTCCCCAGAGCCGGGCTCCTTGTGCTTCGTGCGAGGAAACTGGGCTGAGATAGCCAACCCCCACCCACCTCACTGACAGTCCTCTCCCTCCCCTGGCCTCAACAGTCACCTTCACCCATCCCACCAGCCACCCCACCCTTCCTGGACCTGGTCAAATGAGGAGAGGGGTAGCCCCTGGGTCTGACGGGGAAGCCTGGGGCCAGGGTTCTGAGGAGCAGAGCCCAGAGGGCCGTGTCTGGCTCCAGCCCTGCCATCTCGCACCCCACACCTTCCAGCTGGGGCTTGACTTCCCGTCTCTGGGTCTCTGGGATGGGTCTGATTCCGGCCAGCAGCCCAGACAGGAGGCCCAGGCACGGCCTGTGTGCGCGCGCTGGCCTCCTGTCTGGGCGACTGTCAGGCTTCGCTGCAGGAGCATCCCCCACCCCGCCCCCCAGGCCCACCTCTAGCCTCGGAGCACAGGGCGGTGAGAGCTGGGTCCCTGCCGACTGCAGTCTGTGTCAGAGCTGCCCCACGGTGACATTCCACTTCCCTCCTTCCCTTCCCAGGGAGAAGCCCGAGGGAAGCGCAGGGAGGTCCTCCAGATGAGTGGGGGGTGGGCAGTGGGTGCGGGGAGGTCCACCCCAGGCCAGGCAGGGCTGCGGCAGTGCCCGGCAGTGTCAACCCCTTGCTCCGTCTCCGTGCTCCGACTCCCAGGTTTCCCTTTTTCTTCAAATCTGACAATAGAAGAGACGGGGTGTGCTTGGCCCCAGGCCTGGCGATGGTGGCTGCCCCGCTCCTGGAGTTTGTGCTGGGCTGCGTGTTCTACTAGATTTTGTTCTTCCTCTTTTCATACAGTATTGCGCCCCCACTTCCACTTTTACACTTCGTCTCATTCCTGTTCTCACCCCACCCCCCTGCCAAAATGAATAAAGTCTCCCCAGCTCTGGTTGTATGGGCTGGGCGGAAACCATGACACACCGCCTTGTCTCCTTTCCTCTGGGAGCTGGGGCTGGAGCCCGCCCTGGCCACCACTGTCAGCCTCAGTGTCTTCGGCAGCGCCTCCAGGAAGAGCCTTACCAGAGGCGAGGGGGCCCCACACCAGTCCGCAGGGAACCCCACAGCCCCTGCAGTCGTGATGAAACTCCTGGGTCCCCAGTCTGCCACCCTCAGCCTGCTGCAGCCAAACGGCTCTTGTGAATCTGGGAGATCTTTCCTGCTGACTGTAACTGAACCCCTGCACCCTCACAGCCAGCTGGGCCCCACAGGGAGGCCGGAGTCTGCTCCCAGGATATGAAACATTCCAGAGCCCTGCTTTTGCTACCCTAATCCCCAGCAGTCCCTCCGAAATGGGGGAGGAAGGGTGAGTGTTCTCTTGGGGGAGGAGATGATTTCAGGAAACCATAGCAACAGGGATCTGAAGTCCCTTCGCTCCACAGTCGCCCATGCAGGATCTAGGGTAGGTAAAGCCACAGCTCAGGAAACCACGTCTGGGTCCATCTGTCACCTGCCCGTCTGCTTCATTCCTCCAGCTCTGGACCTCTTCCCAGGCGTGAGGATCCGCCCAAACAGTTGGCTGCAGCTTGCACAGAAATAACTTTCAGACCCCAAAGCATTTCTTACCTTTAGCCCCTCCTCCCCTCTTCCTGCTGTCCGTCCGCTCAGCTTGAGAGTAAAACCTAGCCTTGTAAGAGGAGGTAGGAGACTCCCTACTTCTCGCCCAGCCCATCCCCACGGCATCCTAACTGGAAGTGCAGTTCAGCACGCAGGACTCCCTCGCTTCCGTGCGTGGTAAGGCATGGCAGCCGGGAGAGGAGAGGCAGTGCACTGAACCCATGATGTCTCAGACTCCACACCGTCCAACAGAGGCAGTTTTGTTGCTTACAGACTCATTTAAATCCAAGTTAATACCAAAAAGGGCCTTTCAACAGAGGTAACCAGAATATGGGACTAACTGGGATTATATACCTTTCCACAAAGGTATTGTTACAATTTACACATTCAAACCCAGCTAAAATACCAAGTAAAAGGCCTTGTGGGTGGGCTTCAGTGAGGTGGACTCAGTGGGCCCCTGGGCTGCCCTCTGCAAACAGAAGCTGGGTGAGAGCTGGGGCGAGAACCGGTCAGGAGTCCAGCAGGCCACCGTGGACACGCGTGACCACTTTCTCCAACCAGATGCAGAGGTGTATGTCACAGTGGACTTCGGGAGGACTGGAGCCCGACTCGCTGGGGGTCGCCTCATCTCCTGCTGCCCTGGCCTTTTCGGGCTCACCGCATGTGACAGGCACGAGACTAATTTGGGTTGGACCTTTGGGTGCAGGTAGCACTTTTCAGAGCCCGGAATACAAGGAGGTGGAAGCCCTGCCAACCTACCTGCCAAGATTGGACGTCTCGACCGCTGTGTCAACGGCAGTGATGACAGGCAGTGGTGGTCACACCAAAGTCTGGCCTGGATGCAGGTGGCCTGGTGATCCTGAGTGTTTGCCAAGGGGGTGAGGGGACGTGCTGCTGAAGCCTGGCCGGTGGCAGAGTTGGGCCACCTCAGGTCAGCGGCAGGGGCAGCCCTCCCAGGCCAGCCCACTTGGGAATGTGCCCTCTGGCACCTGCAGCCAGAAAGGACTTGGTCCCGGGAAAGACCAAGAATGTAACTACGGAGACACCACTCCTCTCCACGGCCTTCGGAGCCCAGGAACTGGTTACAGACGGGGCGGAAGGCAGAGTTCCCTTCGAGACGCATCAGGTTTACATTCTCCCACCCCAGGCGAGGCCTGCACCCCAAGCTCTCACATGGCTGGCCCTTGCCTGGAACAATTTGTTCTGACATTCGCTCAGGAGGGGAAACAGAGAGGAGGTACACCAGGATGAGTCTAGACGAGCAGGTCAGCTCTGCCCCTGGTGGAACCTAGAAGAGGTGGGTCCCACCTGTACCTGGGGGGCATTATGTAACCAGTCAAAAAACAATCCCCTAGTAGCTACCCTGGGGCAAGAACTGGAGAGAACACAAAAGTTTGAAAAGAAAACCCAGCAGCAGCCGGGCCAGCAGTCTTCCTTCCCCCAGACAGTGTGCTGCCCCGTGAGCCAGCCTGCCTGTCCCCCTGGGACCCGTCCCCCTGGGACCTGTCCCCCTGGGACCCGTCCCCCTCGGAGGGCTGTGCTCTGTAGAGTGTGGGGCGGCAAGAAGCAAAACAGAGGAGATTCTCAGTTCGCCTCTTTGGAATTTCTGTTTCCTCAGAGGTAAAGGTAATACATGAACAGCTGAACTGCCCACCACAGGGCTATTATCTACTCGTAGTGGCAGCGGACACTGTGTAAACCTGATGAAGTGCTGTACAAACGTTATGTGACTCAGGTGACTAGTAGGTAACCCTCCAGGCTGGGAAGGGGGTCTCCGGGCATATACCCCAAAGCTCGGGAGCTACAAAATGATTCCCAGCCCATGGGCCAGTCGTCCAGCTGGGCTGGGGAGAACTACCCGCCCTCGACTCCCACCAACACTCTGGAATTCTTAGCATCCCGTGCTTGCCCGAGCTCACACAGTACAATTTCGGATCCGAAAATCCCTCACAAATGGAAAAGATTATTACTTTAATTTCCACTTCACTGAGCTATGTGAAATGAAACACAGGGTTAACCCACCCACCGTCGCCACGTGTCTAGGCCAAGGTGACAGATGGTGGTCCTAGTCCCGGCCCTTCTCTTTCCACTGAATTCCAACCCAGGAGGGGCAACAGAAGCACCCAGGGGGCTTCGTGCAGCTAGGTCTCAGAGACCGACCCGAACGGTGTGGGGCTTGGGGTTCTGTTGGGTTAAGACAGAATTGCCACCCCCAGTTTCAGGACTTCCCGTGGCCCGGGTGGGCTTGGGGGACTTGCTGCTTAAGGAAGAAGACAAAAGTACCAGCAGAGTGAGGCCTGGGAAGAAGAGAAACCTTTCCAGCAACAGATGGCTCACAGCTCAGCACTGGCTCCAGAACGCAAACGAGATGATCAGAAATAGACGCTCAGCAAGAGGCATCTGCTGCACACGCCATTGCCTCATGCAAGCTTTGACCAGAAGGACACGTCACATCCCACTCTCCACACAGACCCTCCTGAAATGCAGTGTGAGCTGGGGGGAGGGGCGGCAGATGGAGCAAGAACAAAAGCAGCTGAGAGAGCTGTTCTCCTCTAGCTTGGGGAGGACAGAAAAGAGAGCTGCCCCCCAGCAAAAGTCGGGGCAGGAGGCCTCGCCCAAGCCCTACTCCCCCAGGCCGCAGAACAGTGGGAATCTGCCTCATGATCAGAGGGAGGTCCCAACACTTTTCTCTGGTCTAGGGTTAGGACTTGAAGCCCCAGCACCGGGCCAGCCCCTTCCTCTATGCCCACTTCATTCTCCCGGCCGCCTCTCCCCAGGCCCTTCAGAATCCTAATAAAATGACCAGCAGTAGGGGGGAAAGGTAAACCTTTATTTGGAAGAGGGAATTTAAATGACCACTTAAAACCCCCATTTCATTTTCAAAACAGAAACAAATAACAAAAACAAAAAGATTACCAGGCTACCTGCCCTCTGCCACCTTCAGCCATTTTTTAATGCATTTCCTGGCAAAGGAGAACAGTGATGGGCCACAGTCTTAGAAAACAGTCGGGCGCTGTCTTGCGTTCATCTCAGGAGGTGCCCAGAGAGAGGTAACCAGAATGAGCGGTGGGGTACGGACAGGCCTGGGGCTCAGCCAGGCACACCCAGTACCCAGGAAACAATGTTTAAAAACATACACACATAGATCAATTCCCCAGAACCTAGGTGTGGAAAGTCTATAACCACGAACGAACGCAGAGGAGTTCAACTGGGTCTTTGGCTTTCAAATAGATACAGGGGGAGACCATTAACCGCAGGCTGTTTCTCCAGCCTCTCAGCTCCTCCCCCAGCTCTGGGATGGAGGCCGAGAGGGGCAACAGCAAGTCAAATCAGGCAGGGCCAGCAGGTACTCCAAGTACGGGGTCCAAGGAGCAGCTGGCCCAGGAACACCTGAGGCCACACCAGCAGCAGAGGACTAAGGCATGCAGGTGACAGCGTGTGGGCACGGAAGCCCCTGCGCTAGGGGAGGGAAGCAGAGGCGCCCAGCAGCCAAGGCCTGCTGGTCTGAGCAGCTCCTCAGCCACTTTTGCCCAAGGTCACCTTTGTGCTGAGAAGGTTTGGCCTGAGCCAAATAGCAGGATTTCCTAGGGAGAAAATGGAAGGGAAGGAGGGAGGCAGCAAACAGTGAAAAGTGGTGGGGAAAAGAGAACCAATAATCCCTGAGGTCCCGAGTCCCAGCTGAGGCAGCTGCAGAGCCTGCCTGCTCTTTCCCCTACTGGGGCTACCCCCCCTCACCCCAGTTTTGCGGGCTGCAGAGCCCAGTGAGACAACTGTTTCCTGAAGGTTCTCTCTCCTCACCCTCATAGAGTTTTAAACCGCAAACTACTCTCCCAGCCCACTGACCCCACACAAACTTTTGCTCTCCTGGGGCAGCCTGGGGAAGGGGACCAGCCCAGACAGAGCACACTGGGCCTGCGGGGAGTCTGGGTCAGAGGCTCAGCTTGTACCTCCCCACTTGCCACTCCAGGCCGTGGAGCCCATTCGCTTCCAGAGCTCAGAGGGTGCGTGTGCCCTGGCTGGCACAATGAAGGCCTAATGAAACACAGAGGATAAAAGGAGGAGGGTCCGTGCCCCTGCGGCTGCCTGGCAGCCTAGATTCAGGTCATGCTCTCAGCCTGCCCCTCAGCCGACAGCCACAGGGTAGAAAGCAGGCACAGGTGTAGCCACACAGAGCAACACCACCCTGACAGGACACGCACAAACTATACATATCTCACACGTGTGTGCCTGGCAAGAGGTCTGTGCCCGGAAGTTGTGAAGGCAGGGAGAAGGTCGGATCAGAAGGCACCACCAGGAAATAGCCTGAAAGCAAATAACCATTGAGATCAATAGCTCCCACAACCCTGGTAATCAAAAATCAAG